TTAATAAAGATAATTGTAATTATTTAACAAGAGATAATTAATTAATATTTAATATCAGATAAGAATGAAAAAAAAAACTTTGAGTGAAAGGTTTATTTTATACATGTTTTTAACAATCATCAAAAATTTTTTGTTTGTATTTATTATCGCGCACAAAAATACATACGCATTAGACTATTAATGGATTACCATAAGAGCAAAAAACTCGAGTTTTCGATCGTAAACAATTGATTGGTTAATTCAAATTCCAGTGAAGTACTGATTGGTAAAAACGCGTTTTTTTAATCTTTTTGCATAATAATTAATAAAAATATATAAATCAAAAAAAAATTGTTCAACGAATTAAAATTTTAGAAGATGAGAATAACAAGTTGACTCTAGAAAATCAAAAATTAACCAAAGAAAATCATGGATCAAAGAATAAAGAATTTTTCTTTAAAAATTTAGGCTACTACCGATAAACAAGTACCTAATAACACATCTGCACCACCACCACAAGAAAATGCTAATGGCGATCCTAGTCATCAGAAAGAAAAACTCCCTGTCCTATCTAGATCACAGAGAGCTGGTTTACAGGTAACATGGAAAAAAACCTTAATTACATTACTCGGTCGAGATTTTTTATAATTGGAAATTAAAAATAATATACATTTAAATTTGTTGATCTTAACCTATTAATTTAGAATTAATAAAAATTATCTAACTTAATCCCAAACCTAATATTTATTTATTTAAAAATCTAGTTTCCAGTAGGACGCATTCACCGATATTTAAAGCAAAAAACTTTAAATAATGCAAGAGTAGGAGCAAAAGCCGCTGTATATTCTGCCGCAATCTTAGAATATCTTACAGCCGAAGTCCTTGAATTAGCAGGAAATGCATCTAAAGACTTGAAGGTAAAGCGTATTACACCAAGACATTTACAACTTGCTATTCGTGGCGACGAAGAACTGGACACGCTTATTAAAGCCACAATTGCAGGCGGTGGTGTACTACCGGTAAATATCTTTCTATATAATAACTATATTATATATGTCTTGATTCGATTTTTTATTAATTGCAATTATAACTAATCGCCAACTTAATTTAATTTTAAATTAATATAGCACATTCATAAACCATTGTTGAACAAGCCAAGTTCTAAAAAAAAGGCCACGCAATCGTAAACGAAAAAAAATTATGAATATCGTTTTTATTTCTATATATCAAAAAAAATTATGTTAAAAAAAAAAAATAATAGTTATCAATTT